CTTTCCAATTTCTTGGAAATATGTTGATTTCATGGTTTTCAAAGAAACAAAATAGTGTTGCATTATCTACCACTGAAGCAGAATACATCTCAACCGGTAGTTGTTGCGCACAAGTTTTATGGATGAAACAACAACTTTTAGATTATGGAATTGAAGTTGGTACCATACCTATCAAGTGTGACAATACTAGTGCTATTTGTCTCACTAAAAATCCCATCCAACACTCTAGAACTAAACACATTGAAATTAGACATCATTTCATTAGAGATCATGTAATTAAAGGAAATGTAGTTCTAGAATTTGTTGATACTTTACATCAATTAGTGGATATTTTTACAAAACCTTTAGATAAAGAGAGATTTTGGACACTTAGGAGAGAATTAGGTTTAACAAACCTACCTTGACTTAGTGTTTAAAATGATTTTAGCACTTTTAATTACAAATGAAAAATGCTTATAAAAATAACACTTTTGATTGCATTCTTTGCTAATGGTTAGGGGGAATTTATGATCTTTGATGAAAATTAATAATATGTTCAAATAAAATAGATTTGATTGATTGAACATAGTTAATTTTCAAAATATGAGTTGCCAATACCATTAGAGCTAATTAATTTAGCATTTTAAATGTTTAAAACAGATTTTTGACATTTTTTGTGCAAACTGTATCGATACATATGTATCGATACATCCTCGCTATGTATCGATACATCCTCGCTATGTATCGATACACTATGAAAGTGTACCGATGCATTCCTTGAATGTGTATCGATACACTCAAGAGTGTAACGATACACTCGTCTGGTTTTAGGCTTAAAATCCCTAAATATCATAATTTTGCCCAAAACCTCTCTCTCTAAAACACCCGTCGTTCATCCCTATCTCTCACCCAATCTCCATTTTGCCTCAAATAAATGAAAACAAGTCGGAATTAACTCATTTTCCAGCTCCTAATCCTGCTACACACATCAAATTCGTGCAAATATCACTACATTCTCACTCAATCCAAAAATTTCAAGGTAATTTTTCTAAAACCACTATTTTATTGATTTTGAACTTAGGACTAGTTTTAATTAATTCTAGGTTGAATTAGATATCTTGAATTGTTCATATTATGATTTAGAACTAGATTCTACAACTAATTTCATCAAAAACACAACAATTTCTCAATTTTGTTAAAATTTTTGAAATAAAAAATGTTTTTTTAAAAATTGTTGTTTTTGATTTAATTATGTTTTTTTAAAAAATATATAATTATCAAACTTAATTTTTCAAATGGTTTTCAAAATTTCCCATTAGGATTTGATTTAGAGAACCTTGAATATTGCGGACTCATATTGAGTTTTGGGATTGATTATATTGTATACATGTATTTTCAAATTGCAGGTAACCTTTTCCATTCCGATTAAAAACCATGTCTCATTCAAAACACCCTAGGTCTTCGTCTAGTCGGTCGAACCAATCTCAAAACCGACCTCCTATTCCACCTCAAAATCCAAACCCAAACGCTCCCGATATAACTATCCTTAATTCTTGCTTTAACCAACCTAGTCATTGAGAATATCTCTACCATAGGTTCGTTAACTCATTTGAGTCATATAAAATCCGGGAAGAGCGTATCCCCTCAATCCAAACTATTGTCGATATGAAATTCGAATATCTTCCTACCCTCTGATCTTGGAAATTTTATAAACTCTTTCAGTTCAAACCCATCGTTTATCACCAACTAGTCCACATTTTCTATTCCAATGCGGTTTGTGTCCAAAACGAGTCTCGAAATGCCACCTTAGGAATTCGATCTTATCTCTTAGGTCAATTCGTTTATATTGACTCCAACAAAATCACGAACACCTTTGGTTTAGATAACGAGGGTTTAGATAATGAAAGAGAGATTTTTGGTTACTCCCTATAGAGCCAAGGCTAGTGTAAGTACATTGTTAACTCATCACGAGCGTTTTCTTCACTTAATCATCTCTTGGTGGTTTAAACCGTCCGAAGGTATATATTCTACGCTTAGAGTACTAGACCTTTGGTGGATACATTGTATCCAACATGAAAAGAAAATAAATTTGCCACAGATTGTTTTTGCTGAGCTAGTAGAGACTGTAAACAACGTTCCCTCTAAATATGTCGAAACCTTAGTTTACGGTTGTCTTCTTAGTAATTTATTTATCAAATCCAACCTTAGAGTCCAGCTTGATGTATCCATCCCCTTAAGAACCAAATAAATTTCACAACCTTGAAGAAATCGGGATGGTCCGGGGAAAAGGATCAATGGGTTCGATCCACCGAGAAAACACCGGGTGCTAGCTCTTCACGAGCTCCTCCGGCACATGCTGCGGACGATGATCCAGAGCTTGAAGAACTCATGCGCGATATAGATGATCACGTACCCGAGGATGAGCCGGTACAACAAGAAAGTCAAATGCCTCCATACTTTCGATCATTTATGGAGACTCTTGACATGAGGTTTGCATCCATCGAGTCCCATTTAACTGCTAACAACAAAGCGATGAATCATCTATTTGATGCCATGGACGAAAGGGTTGACGCGCTTACATGAGATGTGGCTAACATATGGGCACATCTATCACCTCCCGATCCATCAATGGATGATTAGATCTTTTTCTTGCTTTGTTTTCTTAGGTTGATTTAGAACTTAATTGTTAAAACATTTTGGATGTTTTTGGATTTTTGTGTTATGGATGTTTGGATGATTAAACTTGGATGTTTATATATATATAGTTAGACTTTAATTGTTTAAATTTAGTTGGTTGAATATTATTTTACATATTAAAAATATGCATCATTCACATTTTAGAAACATTATGACCAATTTACCATTACACAATAATTTATGAATATTGATTATGAACTAATGGCTAACATTTCTTTTGATTGTGATCTTAGCAGCTTAAGCTATATCTATAACTATATAAATCAAATGGCTATTTTTCTTAAAAAAATTGTTTAAAAACGTTTTATAGAGTCTTTTTGATTTAACAAAAAGGGGAGAATAAAGTAAGGGGGAGTAATTTTCAAAATTGATTTAAAAAATAATTTTCAAAGAAAGAAAATCTTAAAATTACTAAAATGTTTTGTTATATCAAAAGGGGAGATTGTTGAAAACATTTTGATGTTTCAATATAACAAATAAAGTACTATTGAATTTTAAGATTTTATTTGATTTTAAATTATATATTCGATTAAATTATTCGAATATAAAAAATATTACTCAAAGCTTTCAAATGTCAGTTTTAATCCTTACTTAAGTGTAAAATTGTGTTTTAGTCTTAAAATATTTTTGAAAACAATTTTTACAAAGTATTTTGAATCTTAATCGGGCCAAAAATAATTTTTACAAAGGGATGTACCGATACACCCCCTAAATCGAATGTATTTTGTGTACCGATACACAGCTGATGCATCGATACATTTCTGGCTCCGAGAAACATCGAATGTAATTAGTGTACCGATACATCTGGGATGTATCGACACACTAGGTCAACTAACGGTCAAAATATTTGAATTTTACACGCAGTGTACCGATACACCCTTGAGTGTGTACTGATACACTTACGCTCCCAACATATTTTTTAAATGATAATTACACCATAACGGCTCTATTGACTTCAGCAATGATCCCCAACGTTCAGAAGTGTTTCAATGTGTATTTAAACAAGCTGAGGAGCCATTGATCAACAACAAAAAATAAGAATCAAGAGAGAATCAAAGAGAAAACATCAAACCTTAAGTTTGAGCATTTCAAGCATATTTTCATTCAATATTCATTTTGTTTTCAAGAACACCATTTGTGCTCAATTGTATTATTCTTGAGTACTCTTTCTTTGTTCTAGAATTGTGCAAATATCTTACCTTGTGAGGTTTTTCTGTAAGTTTGCGGAATTTGTATTTTTCTCTTTGGGAGAGAGTGTTATCAAGAATTTGGGGTATAATTCTTGAGAAAGTTGTAAGGTTACTCTTTGTACTCAAAAGAAAGACAAATTAGTGAAATTATGAAATCTTACTGTGGATAGCTAAGGTAGTGGTCGTAGACTTGGTTGAGAAGTCGAACTACTCTAAATCGCTGTGCAATTTTTTCAATTTTCTGCAAAAACTTCCATCAAAATTTTTATTGTCAATTCACCCCTCTTGACTATTACGTAGATCGATTAACTCAACAGAATTCTTGTGTGTCATCTTAATTAAATATTTAAGACACCGATCAATGGCAATACAGGCCATACGTTTCCAAAACAACATAACCAAAAGTAACACATCATATTGACTAGAAAAAAACAGATATTAGGTAAGAACTTAGATATTTAAGTAAATAATCACTGTGTAAGAAAGAAAGACAAGTTCATACAAGATTAGCAAATCAAAAGCTTCACTTTACATTATTTAGAGAAATATATTAAAATCAAGCCCTAATAATCTAAATATGATGTTCAATCACAATATCCAAAAAGGTATATAAGCAAAAAAGTTATAAAAACTTCAAAAGGGAATGATAAAGTAATAACACCCAACAAGTAGCTCCATTTTTATCATACAATAATCTTATTTAACACAATCTGAACAATATCCTACGCATGCCCTTAATGACAAAGAAGACGAAATATACCTAGCCCTAACATATTTCACTAATCATTAGCATACTAAGCACATTATACTTAATGCCCCCATCCTAGAAAAGGTACACTGTAATAAGACAACCCCTTAGTTTCTCACAGTATAAATATAGACTGAAAGTTCTCCATTCTTTCTTTATGCAACTAACTCACTGGAACATGAATGACTTCTTCTAAGCTTAATATAATTCTCAACGATAAGCTGCAAAAATCTATATATTTATTTCCTGTTCTTTTCCTCCTGCTTGTTATCAACTACAAATTATTAAAATAAATCCCAAATTACTATCTTTAGCAAACCCACAATCCAAATCTAAGCATTCTTTTTCCAAAAGAAAAAATGAAACACAAACTAAAGGTGAAAATCCCACACGCTGAAGACGAATTGCATAATATCTTTAGATTAGGAGCTTCTCAATGGAATCCTTGAGCTGTCGTATTGGAGATTTCAATTGGCTTCCTTCATTTGTCATGACAGAGCAGGCGATTACAGGTCTTGTCACACCACATGCTCGCCCAAGCACTTGCTTTGAAGGAACAAATACATAAGGCACATTCTTATCTTCAGCGAGCAAAGGAAGATGCAACAGAATCTCAAGGAGCTCAGTATCGACAACCATTACAACAAACTCTGATATACCTCTGTTCAAGGTCTTAGTAGCTTCATTAGCACCCTTTTTGAGCTGCTTGTAGTTAGCAGCTTGTTGAACAAGATCCAGAATAGTGGTGGTTAATTGAGCATCGGCTAATGGGTATGCTTTGGGATTCACCGGTTCTCCCATCATTTTGGTTGAGAGAGACGGCTAGCAAAGAGGAAGATTAAAAAGAGAGGAGAGGCCAGAGTTTCAGTAGGGGAAATAAAATTTAGGGTTTTCTAATTATCTTGGGCTTACCTGAACCCAAATTGGGTATTTCTAATATCCTACAAAATAACAAAATAACAAATTAAATTAATATTTAATAATTATAATAATAAAAAAACAAAAAAACAATAGAATTCTGGACAAAACGAGTGGCTACAGTGTTCAAACATGCCGAAATCAATTATGCACTAATGGTATACGATAAGAGAAAGACTTGATTATACAATATGCTGTAATTTTTCCTAATGTTAAAATTTATAAAATATTTTTATAATGGTAAGATATTATGCTGTAATTTTATTCGTATGTTTTAAAATTATTATTTTTATTAAAAAATTGATGATCATTGAGTTAGATGATGATAGTGATAATAATGGTGGTGGTAGTGGTGAAAATGAAGATATGGACGACTAATATGAAAACGTAGAGGAGGAGGAGGATTATTTAGAATTTTACGTGAGACAATTATTTTATTAAAATATATTATTTAGTTTAATTAATTATGATTGTCTGTATGCTTCTAAATGAAATTACTTTTAATTTGTTCAATTATGCATATTGATTTATTCAAATTCTTTACTTGATTAAATTATTTACATAATTATAATTAAGAAAAAAAATTCAAACTAGCTTCGTAAAAAATAAATGAAAACATTTTGATAATATATTTTGTTATTATATTTTATTTGAAAATGTCATTGAATTATATATATCATAGAAAATTGAATTTTTGAACATTTTATTTTTATAATAATAATAATAATTATATTTTCTAATTATAGTCAAAATGTATAACTACAAGCATATTTTTTCATAAAAAACTAAAATCAATTTATTAATTAAAAAATAGATTTGTTTTTGTTAAAATTTTTCTATAACAATAACTATAAAAATTTTATTATATAATATTTTTTGCACCAAAAATAGGGAGAAATAGTTATAATAGTACACTTTTTCATAATAATTAAAATATATAACTACAAAAATAATTGATTAAAAAAAAATTTAATTTTATTATCTGATGTGATAATTTTTTCTATAACAATAACTATAAATTATAATTACAAAACTTATCAATATCACTTTAAAATTTATAACTACAAGTATAATTTGTCACAAAAATGTGAATACCTTTATTTTTGTTAAAATATTTTTTGTAATAATTATAAACACTTATAGTTACAAAAATTGTTACTATATGATTTTTTTTGGCGCAAAAAAAATAAAGAAAAATCTTTATGACAATATATTTTTTTACTATATAACATTTTTTACACTAAAAATATGGAGAAATGGTTCTGATGGTATATTTTTTTGTAGTGATTAAAATATATAAGTACAAACATAATTTATTACAAAAATCTTGAATTTTATTATTTGATGTGATAATTTTTCTATAAAAATAATTATAAATTATAATTATAAAAATTGTCAATATAACTTTTGAAACAAAAAGTGGAGAAAAATAGTAATGACAATATATGCTATCACTTTAAAATTTATAACTACAAATATAATTTGTCACAAAAACGTGAATATCATTATTTTTTGTGACAATGTTTTTTGTAATAATTATTAACACTTATAGTTACAAAATTTGTCATCATATGACTTTTTTGCGCAAAAAAATATAGAGGGAAATCTTTTTGACAATATATTTTATCACTATAATTAAAATATATAATGACAAACACTGTTTTTTTTTACTAAAAACTTGAATCTCATTATTTGTAGTGATAACTTTTTTTATAATAATAATTATAGCTTATAATACAAAACATGTCACTATATGATTTTGTTTTTGTACCAAAAATTGGAGATAATCATTTATGACTATACATTTTGTCACTATAATTAAAATTATAGTTACAAACAAAATTTGTCACAACAAATCTAAATCTCATTATTTGTTGTGATAATTTTTTCTGTCATAGTTACTAAAACTTTTAGTTACAAAAGTTGTCACTATATGCCTTTAATTTGGCGTCAAAAAATTGGAGGGAAACATTTGTGGCAAAAATTCGTAATAAAATTTATTTTGTCTCCATATGTTACACATGTTAGCTAATTGTGACAAATTATTATGGCGATTTTAACTTCTGTCATAATTGTATATCTTTTTCAAATCTAATGCGACGATTATTTTTTTTGTCACAAAAAAACTACTAATAGTGACAAATTTAATTTTGACAAAATTAAATTTTTCACAATACTAGAAATTTCTTATAGTGTGTCACTGATATGATGTCTGATAGGGTCACCCTCTAGAACATGGAAATAAGGCACAATGAGAGCTTTCTCCAATATGCTCAGCGCTAGAGAGACTTTGTTGGCCAAGTCCACCCCCATTAGTTGAGAGGGAATCTATAATCATGTGTATAGATACTTTGAAGTCTCCTTATATCAACTATATGTTAGGGGCTTCTACCAAGAGTTTCTTTGACATAGTTATGTGTGCGGAAATGATTGAAAGGGCATTAAAGAAGGGCCAAATTGTTAGGGAACAAAGAAGCCATTTGTGAAAAAAAGGAAGGGGAAGTTAACAATGCAAATATCTCCCCAAAAAACCCCAAAAGCTGGAATTTCTAGCTCGCAAGGAGTAGCAAAGCGCAAAAGCAACACTAAGAGAATGTCATTTACACCTATACCTATGACATATAGTGATCTTTTCTAGGATTGGTTAAAGCACATGTGGATGCACAAAAGTATGTGAATCAAATTAAACCACCATATCCCAAGTGGTACAATGAAAATAAGACTTGTGAGTATCATGCTAATATCATGAGGCATACGATTGAAAAGTGTTTTACCTTCAAAAGGGTATTTGAAGACTTGATCAAGAGAAAATTGATGTCTTTCAATGACTTAGAGGTGACATGTGTTGCTGTGAATCCACTTGCAAATCACCAAAATCAAGGAGTTAATTACATTGACGAAGGTCGAAGAATCAAAGAAAAGATTAATGAGGTGAAGACACCGTTAAGATGGGTGTATAATCAAATAATTGCAAGAGTATTTTTAGGTCCAAATAAGGAATTCATCAATAAGAGATCTGATATTTTCTATGAATATCACTATGGGGAAGGTCATCAGCTCAAGGATTTCCTAGAGTTTAAGCGTGTGGTCTAGGAATTGATGGATAGAAAAAATACAATTTTTTAAGAAAGTTTAGTGAACAGTGAAGGTGATATTTATACATTTGAAAATATTTTGGGGAAGGTTTAAGAAATGATGAGAAAGACAATGTTGGTCATATCTAAACCAAACTATGAGATCAGTAAAGGAAAGCTAGTGTCGAATATGGTAATAAAAGATCCAACACCATTTCCTTATGTAAGCAACAAGAGTGTCCCCTAGAACTATGAATTTTAGATCAATACTCTTGAAAGAAAAGAGGAAACGGTGGAAGATATCGATGAAGTTTGGGTTTCACTAGGAGTGGGAGATGCTACGCTCTTTTGCAGATCAGAGAAGGCAAGGCCCTTTGTGATCAACGAGTTTTAGGATAGGATGAATGAACCTATCCAGATTGAGGAAGCTGAGAAGTTACTCAAATTTTTAAAGCACATCGAGTAAAACATCATAGAATAGCTCCGTAAAACCCTTACAAGTATTCAATGTTATCTCTACTTCTGTATTCTGAGGTACATCGAAACACGTTACTAAAAATGTTGAATGAAATCTTCATGCTGAAGGATATACCAGTAGAGCATGTTGATAGGTTGGTAATTGTATCAATACAGATAACTTTATCTACTTCTATGACGATGAGATACCTGAAGAAGGAAAAGGCAGATGTAAGGTGTTGCATATAACTACCCACTGCAAAGGGGTTATTCTTTTTGGAGTGCTAATAGATAATGTATCAACTTTGAATGTTATGCCATGGGAAACATTGAATAGACTCTCCATGGATACTTCACATATGAAGGTCCATGGCAACACTGCTCGTGCATTTGATGACACCGAAACGAACATTATGGGTAAGACACGATACCCCTTTGAGTTGGCCCAACTACATTTGAAGTAGAGTTTGTGGTCATGGATATCCACCGAAATATAATTGTTTTTTAGTAAGACCATGGATAGATATGGATGGGGTAGTACCTTCCTCATTGCACAAAAAACTTCGATTCATTTCTAAAAGGACCTTGGTGACAATCAAAATTGAAGAAAAAATCAAAGCTTCTGTTACCACATAGGCACCATATGTGGAGGTAGCTGAGAATGTAGTGGATTCCTCATTCAAATCGTTGGAATTTGTCAATGTTACTTTTTCTTTTGCAGGAAAGAATATGTCTTCTCCAAAACTCTAAAGGAGAACGATAATGCAGTTGAGGGAAACTATAGTTCAAGGAGCTAAAGTTGGGAAAAATTCAGGCAAGAGGTTTCAAGGAATCACTGAGGGTTTAGCTTTGACACTCAAAAGAAACTACTTTAGGATTGGATATAAGCCTATCTACCAAAGAAGAGTTAAGGATGCCCAGAAACTCAAAGAAAGAAGGAAGACGAGGGTAAGTGGTCAGGATATCTGCTGGGGACGTATGGTCATACCGCCCATTACCAAGACATTCTCATTTAGAGGTTTTCATGGTTGATGTGCTAGAGAACCCTTAGGTCGATGATGAGGCTATAGAGATTGAAGCCATGATGGACAGACTGAGCATCAATGCGTCACTGATGACTAGACTACAGAATACTCGCTGGCTGCAATTTGTCCTTATCCTTCTGGATACTCCCTGAAGAACTGCACTGTCGAAGAACTACCTATATTTTCCAAACATATCTTAGAGTAATGCATGATAACAATTTTGTTGCTTTTTCCCGAAAGTAATAGGCATCTTTTTGCAAGGGTGAATTGTTATTAATTTCTATTTTAATGAAATGATGAATATTCCTTCATTCTTTCCATCGAAAACATTTTACTTGATTTTTTATTGTATTACAACTATTATTTCCATAAGAATATAAAAGTCCTTGTCAATAGACCAAATATATC